TGATCGCTGGGTACCTTTCCACTCTAACTTGTGGGAACAGAACCAATTCCCTGCCCCATGCAACCTTTGGTGATTGTTCGCTCTGTCTAGGTGGCTCTTTCCCTGGCCTTGGTTAGTTTCCTCCCATTCACGTGCTAATCAGCTGAAGACTGGAGCACGACCTGTAGGTCTTCACAGCTCCTCCTAACACGTGTAGTTCTCTTCTCTCTAGGTTTCTACTCCCAGCTCCAGCTGTTTGGGCTTCCCTGGTCTCCCGATTCTATCTCCTCAACTCAGGGAGTCTGTCTACCTTTTTCTGGATCCCCCTCTCTGCACTGCTGTCTGGCACCTGCCTTAGTAAGCGGAGTGCTCACCTTATTTGTCTGCTCTCTCTTATGGTCTGCCCTGCCCTGCCCTGCTGCCTATTTTATTTCTTTAGTTGTTTTAGTAGAAGAGTAAATACAGTCAATGTTGTTCCATCTTAGCTGCCTTAGCTGCTGGATTGCTATAAATTATTGTTGTTCTGTTGATAAAACAGATTGCTGAGGTTGTCAGCTGTTTCCGAAACAACTCTCCTTAGTAACCTGAAACACCTTGCATTGCAATCCACATCTCCTGCAAGTACAGTTCATCCTTGTGCAATGGATGTTACAGAAGAGTAACTACAAATAAACTCTGTGAAAGAGAATGTAATTTTCCCCTCTGGCTTCCATTTCCATTCCTGTAATGCTCTCTCTCTTTCATTTCACATTACTTTCTCTTTAGCTGTGACTTCAAACCCTGAGACGTTCCTCTGTTTTCTTTTTTTTCTTTTTCTTTTTGGTCAGGGACCAGAAATCTATACACAAAATGTCATGATGTTTTGGGATTTGAATTCATGGTATTCTAGTCAACATAGCCTTTGAAGACTTAGGTGTGTGCTTGGAGTTAAGGTGTGTGTGGGTCTGAATAAAGACAGGAATTTGGACTTCAAGCAGCTCAATCTTTTTTTTTTTTTTTTCTTGCATCGCCACTCCTACAGTTTTGGATTGTTTTAAAAGAAGGACCCCCCTGAATTCTGAGATGAATTTAGAAATAGAAGCAGAAAGTTCAAGAAAAGGAACTCTTGTTTTTCTTCTTGTTCCTCAGCTTCAAGAGTAGCTATTGAGGGTTTACCATAAAGGAGTGCTGTTTTTACTGAGACCCAGAAAAGTCAGACATTGACGATGAGTTCGTACTCTTGTGGAAGAATGACACAAATTGATAAAGATCCAGAATGTGGCACCTGGGTAAATCTGTGAGCTTTCACAGAAGGGTGTGATTACTGAGGGCTGGAGAAGTTAGGGAAGGCTTGGGGACCTAGTTCAGGAAAGAATGACAGAATTTAGAAAAGAGTGGTGTGGGCACGATTAAGACTACGGGAGCCCGTGTTTTGACTAGGGACAACCAGAGAGGTTGCTGTAGGAGCTCCTCTTGGGGACTGCGGGAAAGTCTGGCTGTTGGAGGCCTATCTGTTGGAGGCCTACGTGCCAGGCTCCGGCATGTGGACTGTGGAGAGCCCTGGATGGTTTTTGATGGGGGGACGCGGAGGGCATGTTTCGATAGAAGTGGGGGTTAACGTTCATAGAGGAGATGAGGACTGGCAGCAGAGGTGTGAGACCACGGACTCTGCTCCGTCTTAATCACCTTCGTATTCCCATCTGCCAGTTCAAACAATGTTTGTTGTTAAGGTGGGGGTAAAACGTTATCTTTTGCCTTCCGAATTGCTAATGTTCTTGATAACCACTGGCCTTGTCAATGGCATGACAAATATTGTGAAAGAACTTCCTTGTGACCCCAAGTTATTTTGTTTGAAGGGTGAGAGGTAGGCAGATTTGGACTCGGGCTCTCTTAAGCCTTATTTATTTTTCTTTCAACTCATTTTCTTCCATTGTAAGGAAAAGGCACTCAGCCACCGTTAACAGACATTACACAACAGGGCCGCTCCCGATCCGCAGCTCCCCCAACCCTGACAATTTCTGCAGTCTTACAAATTTCCTAACCCCACACACACGCACAAGTGAACCAAACGGCCCAGGCGAACACTCCCCAAAGAGCGAGGAGGGGGTACAGACCTCCAGATGGGCAGAGTTGACACAATGGAGCCTCAGGCGCACGTGCAGCAACGCGCAGGCGCGCGCACACGTGACTCTGCGCCGAGGCAGAGTAACCTTCAGATTAGGCGCTCGCGCTCCGTTATTGGCCCCACCGGCCCCCTTGTGTGCGCACGTTCTATTGCGATCCGAACGCGGAGCCCGGGCGCCGCCCCC